CATTAATGAGAAATTGAACAGGTGTTCCTAATAATCCTTTAGGTGAGTGTATATCCTTATGTATTTCGTTATAAAGCTGAATTTAGGTGACTTATTTGGAGCGTAGCTATAGTTCCATGTAGTACAGGGATCCTTCAACATAGTGGTTGACTAGAGACTTCCCATAACTATAGACTTGCGATGCATTTGCTTACCAAAGTGGGCCTCTGTGAGCTGGTGCATCATGGGAACTTTAGTGACACTGCCATTAGTCAAGGTGAAGGGCAGCTCCTCCCCTAGATGAAAGCACCTCTGCCAGATGCTACGGAAAGCCAGTGTGCTCACCAGTGCCATGTGTGGCCCCGCCCACTCTGGGGAGTCACTCCAGATGGGCAATTGTACATCCATCTCAGTGTCAGCTATAAGATAGAGCACATTTTCTACAAATTATTTAATAAAACTTCCTGCATTACCATTAAAAGACTGCAGACTCATATTGGAAAAGGGACTACACTTTAAGCTAGAAGATTCCAGGTTCCAAACCATGGGGAGACACTTCAATTAAACCTTTGAAATGTCTGCCACAGAGAAATGTCTACCTGTATACCATTACCACTTGAGTGAGTAAGTGATGTTAAGTTGGGAGAAGGCGCTTTCACACAGGTGAGGTTCCTGAGCTAATTAACCGATTACCATCCCATCATGCTTTACCAGTAACTAGGAGAAATTGGAGGACGCACGTTCTGCTTGACTGCATTTGTTGTAATACACAAAGCAAAACAGATGAGCAACTTGGAATGAAGGGACTGTAAATCTCAATCTTAGGCATCAGCCTAAGAACATTCCACTAAAAATTCACAGAGAAGGGCACCAAGTGTGAGCTGCAGTACATAAAACCTGCAGTTGCACTTTTATAAGTAAAGCGACACAAAAACAAGGGCTGTGGTCTGATGAGTTACCCTGCATCTGTTGTCAGTGAGTGAATGAGTGCATGTGTGGCACACGTGAAGAAGCCAGCAGGCGTGAGGGATCACTCTCCATGGTGAAACTCAATGCTACTTCCTCACAACTGCAAGATATACCATAGTTCATATTTTTTTTAAAAGCAGATCTCACTGTAAAAATGTCTGGAGACCACTGTACTAGAGTGAACGATAAACACTAATAAATACAAAACTATTCTAAGCAATCGCAAGCATCCTCATGGGCTGTAGTTATCAAGGCTGGGAATGCCTTCATCCATGAGGCAGCTCACTGAATGGCTTGGTTAGTGTGAAAACAATGTCAACCATATGCCATGGCCATCCCAGTTCTTCACTTGTGAGAGATTCCGGAACAATGCCTGAGACAGCATTTTCTACCACCATCAACAAAAGACAAAGGGTGGAAAAAACAGTTTTAGTTATTCAGTCTATATTAGGAATAACAAACTATGTGCTATTCCACAGAGCCCCCTTTACCAGGTTCAATGCCCTGTATAGCCACCTTTCTTCTCAATGACCATCATGAGCCTGTTTGTCCTTAAACCAGTTAAGGTTTTGATTTGATCCCATCCTACATTAGATGAGGCAGCTGGGACCACCTCCCAGACGCTGCTCTGAGAAGTGAACTGCTTGCCACCTTGGTAAATCTCATACTTCAGTAAGACCCATTTCTCAGCACGGGGTTTAGTCACACAATGAAGGGAACCAGGTCACGATTCAATCACCTTTCAAGCCTTTCTTGGCCAATCCATTGAATACTTTAATGTGTGGGAAGGGGCATTGTCTTGCATGAATGTCATAACCTTTTTGAAAGTTTGAAGGTATCTTCTAGAAACTGGCAGTACATTCTGTAGTTAATTTTTACACCATCTGCAAGTCTACAAGTTCATCACTGATAAGTGCAGCCCACACCATCACTCCTCCACCACCTTGCTGTGGCAGAAGGTGTGCATCCATGGGTCCATCTCATCTGGCAACCTCAGTCTAGAAACGTGTCAATGCCCATTATTGATGTTTTAACATGTGTGCCTGATTCACTTGAGGTCGTGTTTCATCTTTTGTGACTTTAACAATGTTGTGTAGCACACTGCACCTAGTACTCCCGGAGATTCCGTTCAGATTGTAATTTTGAAAAACGGTGTCATTTGATTCTAAACTGTTTCTGGACGTCTCCCTTTTAATTTGACACAAATATTTGCCAGTTAATTTGTGTCGTCTTCTCTCTACATACTTCTTCCAGCCTCTTTGGTGGTTGGCCACAAAATGATTAATTGTACAGTGATAACGTTTTATAAGTTTGCCAGTTTCGATCATTTTGCATCACTCTGACTGGCACTTTATTGTTTTCCCCCCGCTCTCTGTAAGATCCTGTTTAGGCCCATTTTAATAGCAATAATAATTTGCTTAATAATTCTGCACAGGGGAGTATCTAAGGTTTCCTGTTTTACTCCAAACAGAAAGTACCCAGACAGAATACTAAGCATGCTCTGTTTGTAAACAGGTCATTCTTAACTGGAGATTAATCTGGACTGAAACTATTGGTCTGAAGAGAAGATACAAGCAAAACACACACATAATTAATAATTCTGCATGCAGCTTATATTGTTTCCATTATTATACTAGTTGTGCATCACTGTGTGTAATATTAAGTATTTAAATATGTTTGCAATGATAAACATAAATGTTTTCATATACTGTTACCTCACCATCTGCATTTCTGCGGATCCAATCCTCAAGTTGGCTGATAGTCTGGTTTGGCTGATTAAAGCTTGTTTGTACCAGGCTGCTGTTGCCCCATGCTGATGCATGTTGGGTAAAGGCTGGGAGGAGTGATATGTCGTGCTGGATGAACAGGGCACATGCCAGGCGAACTGCCACTCTCCGGCTGGAGTTACCCACACCCCCCCAATCATGTTGCAGGAGCTCCTGTACATGCACATCTGGGGACAGCAAAAATTGAGGTTAGATATGATATGTTACATATTTCCAGAAATATGCTTCACCCAGGGGACATGGGAACTGGCATCACACTGCAGTGCTATGCCAAATGATCCTCATTCCCTCTTTCTACCTATAGTTTCCTGGGTACTGAGCAGAGAGGAACCACTTTGGCATCTTCCAACAGTACTCAGTCATAATGATATACAGCGCCCATCACAATTATTGGCACCCCTTGTAAAGATTTGTAAAAATGGTTAGAATAAATCCACCTTTTGGTGAAGTAGCTTCATGTCAAACTAAAAAAATTAGAAAAATGCAACCTTTCATTGAACATATGATTCCTAAACCTTTTTACAAATCTTTTCAAGGGGTACCAATAATTGTGTAGGGCGCTGTATATACCAATGAGTCAAAACATTATGATTATCTGCACATGAAGCTAACATTCGGTACTGGTAGTTGATATACTCAATGCAGAAGAAATGGGCAGGAGTAAAGATCTGAGTGACTTTGACAAGGTCCAAACCATTATGGGCAGACAACTGGGTCAGAGCATCTCCCAAACGGCAAGGCTTGTAAGCTACTCACGGTCAGTTGTGGTGAGTACATACTGAGGGTGGACAAGGAGGGAAAAACCATGAATCGCTGACCAGGTGTTGTGCAGCCAAAACTTGACACACAAACGAAGGTTAAACCATGCAGTGCAAACCCACAGAAGAACTACTGTGGTACAAATGGCAGACAATTTTAATGGTGTTTTATTGGAATTCTGTGTAACGACAATCAGGGCGTTGACCCCTGCTGCATATGGGGCTGTATAGCCGCTGATTGGATTTGCTGGTCCAGCACCTTATACAGATGCTTCACATGAACCCAGCCGCCCACATGATGAAACAGCATATGGGATTCATTGGACCAGGTGATCTACTTCAACTACTCCAAAGTCCAGTTCCCATCATCGGTATTTTGTTGGTAGATAGGCGTTAGCAAGGGCCCTCTGGCCTCTGGCTTCACAGCACCATAAACAGCAGGGCTCCATGCCTTTATCCCTGCCCATTTCTTCTACATTCAACATATTGACTATGAATTCCGAATGTTAGCTTACCATATTAATATATCTCAGATTTTGACATTCATCATTAAATATATATACAGTGGTACCTCAGAACTCGAATTTTAATCTGTTCAGAACTCCAGATCGAATCCTAAAAAGTTCAAGTCGTGATCGAATTTTCCCCATAAGAAATAATGGAAAACCAATTCATTGGTTCCCGGCCCCAAAAAATTACACCTATATATGTTTTTTTTTTAGCATTTAAACACAAAACGAACCAGATAAAACAAGAAGAGCATATACTGTACTAAACACATCTAAGCACATTTATCAAACAGTAATTTGTATCTTAGGTCTGCGTTCACGGTTTGACTTCTGAGATTCAGATCAAGCTCTAGGTAATTTTTTTTTTGAACTGGCTGGTTCGACTTTTAAGAAATTCAAGTTCTAATGAGTTCGAGAACTGAGGTACCACTGTATAAGGCACAGATAGGCAGTGGCTCGGGGCCTTGTTCCCTCCTGAATTTTTTTTCTGTGTGTGTGTGTGTGTGTGTGTTTTTTAATTTAATAAACCCGCCCCCATTTTGCAAATATTAAAAAAGAGGACGCACCCAAAATATAATGCTTATTGCTCTTGAACCACTTGTACTACATTCTGAAACAAGGGCTGATTTAAATCCTGACAGTGATGAAATGTTGATAAGATACACAAGGATTTCTAAGAGTATCACTTATATGGATAGAAAATACTTTAACTGTTTTTACATGATTTTACTTTTAACTTTTTTTTGTGCTGCAATTGATTTTGTGATTTGTTTTGGCATTAAAAACATTTTTTATAGCCTGCAAACACAGTGGGTTCAAAGACTGGACCCTCAGTAACGCTCACAGCAGATTTTCTCACACTATGTCTAGTTGACCCAGTCTTGAAAACCGTAAATGAAAATGTAAAATAAGTACCTTACCTCTGTTTAATCTGCGTTTCATTGTAATTTTTTCTTCTGCATTCCATTTCTGGCATGCCTTAAAAAGTGATTCCCGGCATGCCTACCTCCCGCTCCGTGGCCAGTAATGATCAGGGCTACTGAAGCTGTTTGTGCTGTATGCCTTTTAGGAGAGATGGGGCTTGTGATATGTCACTGAACTCAAGATTATTGGCTGTTCATTCCTTCCATGTTTGAGAAGCTCCGGGTTATTGGGTGTCCAAGATGTCCAGCCAATGGGAGGGCAGTTCGTCTTCATGTTTGGGGGCAGTTGGCTAAAAACAGTTGCCAATCATCCAAAACTAAAATCAGCTTGCCTGCTGGCTTATTTTATTTTAAGGGTCTGCCATACATATCGAATCCATGGGTAAACACGAATGACATCACTGACACCATGAAAACAGGGGTTGTTTTTTTTTCTATGTCTGCCCAATTTAGCTTGTTTTTAAATAAAGGACTATGAGGGATATTGATCATCGAACCCTTATGGAGGTATGGTCAGCATGCTTTGAGAGGTGGTACGTTGTTATTCATGTAAACAAACAGGAAGTGCACATTTTGACTTCCATATTGAAATATTTTGGCATCTATGTTGAAATATTATAAATATATTTCTTTTAAAGGCATTATGTTCCAAAAGCTTTTTCACTTATAAAAGCCCTCAGTGTCAGTTTTTCTACTAAAACTTGGAATGATGTTGGACTGTCTGATTTTGGTAGATGTCAGGGCTTTGAATGATGGGGCCAGATTTCCAGGGGCAGTGCTGGTAGGTCTTACCCTTGACGTTATAGCCGAGGGCTTCCTCCAGCTGGGCCAGGCTGCGTCACCCTGGCCCCAAACTGCAGGAGCCCCAGGGCCATGGAGACGCTGAGGGGCGACACAATGAGGTTGGAGCCCCTGTCTGCGTGCGCCTGGTAGAGTCTGACGGCAAACTCCGTGTGCAGATCCCGCAGTCCGCCACAGCGGCCCCGCACCAGACAGAGGCAGACCAGCAGCCAGCTCAGCCATTGGCCACCCATGGCAGCACGAGGGACACGATGCAAGGAACTACAGCCAGGGCTCACGGTGTCTGTGGAGGGACACAGTTTCTGTGGTGACAGGGTGGTTGTGGAGAAGGTTCGCTGTAAATGAAATTAGCACAAAATATCATTACTCATTTCTTAGCTGGGGTCTGAGCAGAAGAACATTAAGTGTGAAGCAACATTATATTCATAGCCTATCTGCAGTAACTGGATGAACACTGGTGGATGTCATATGAGCTGAGGTTTTATTTATTTATATTATGACACAATGTTAGATAATTATTTCCCCCATGAGACTAGCCTGCACCATTTTTGGCAATTCTTTAACTTCAAGGTGTTGCTCTATAAATAACTGGGTTTGCACTTCCAACCTGCTCGGTTGTCTTTGCTACTAAGGGCGCTTTTCTACTGCACCAAATAAGGTAGTTCTGGTACGGTACTTTCGGTACTTTTACTATTTCATTGACTTCCGTTCGAGTACCAATATATACCAAAAGGTTCCAGTACTGAAAGTGCCAAATCAGCTGGGGTACTTCTTTGGTACTTCGGGGTGGGACTTCAAATACTATCTTTTGTTGATTGGTTATGCAAGCAGCCTGCCAATAAAACACAATACAAACGCTGCCTTGAAAGTAGTTGCGAAAATATTGACAAACGATCTGATCGGAAGAACAGATACAACAAAAAGATCCGGATCGCATGCCAAGAAATGAAAAAGTATTTTGTTGAATATACTATAATTATTAATACAGCACGCATATAGAATGTTGTCCTATAGCGATGTGATTTTGTTAAAAACATAGCGATGTAATTTTGTTGTAATTTCTCGAAGAACCAAAAGTTCGGTACCTGGTGCGGTGGAAAACGCCCTTTGATTAGCACAATACCAGGTACGGTAGTAACCCGCTTACGGAGTAAACTTATGAGCAGTTTAAATCAGCTCTCCCTCGGCGCAGGGCACCAGGAAAACTCCAAAATGATACATTACTAAAAGAATGTATGGCTAAAGTGTAGGCTATATATAGACCTAACATAAAGTGAAATTATTCCCGAATTAATTATAACATTTAATCCTTCACGTTTTACTATAAAGTTAACCACAGTATTACTGTAATTGTTCAACCACATCATAAAATACATCTGCACACTCCAGGGTGGAAACGTCCTAGTCTTTTGCCCTGACAGAATAAAAGCGCATATGAACATCTTTTCCCACAAACGCCTAATTAAATTTGATGGATACGTTAAATAACAGGTAATATATTTAGTCATTTTAACGTCTTGTCTGTCCCAGCTGATACCGCACTCGCAGTCACCATGCTTTCGGGGATCCCGACACTCCTTTTCCCTTGTCCGATATTTGTGCGGCATTTAGAGAGGCATGTTACAGTAAGTCAATAAATCGTGTTGAAAGGGGGATGGCCAGTGTTTGCGATCTCTCGGCGATGTGGCGGACTGTCGGCGATGTCCGTACCACTGCATCAGAATCCCTGGCGGCGGGAGCTCCACGGGGCTCTACGGAGCCAGGCGGGGAGAAGCATACTTCCGATCGTAAAATCCCGTACCGGCTGGCCCGTAACCACCCTCACGCAACCGTGTAGACGACTACGTGCATTCAGCTACTGCAATCAGTGTAACAGAATTTGTAACTAATAATTAAACAAATGATAATATCAAATAATAATGCTATAGGGTGACAATATTCCGTTTTTCAGGATATTTTATATGCGCAATTTTTAAAATCTGATGGCACTACATTTACTTTGTTTGCACTATGTGCAGCCTGGTGCATTTGTACCTTGTCTGCTTTGCATTATGTGTATGTTCCTCAGTGCACTATGTTCTTGCTGCTGTATGTGCCTGAATTCCCCTCTGGGATCAATAAAATTAATCTTAATCTTAATAAGGGCTGTGAGTCATGACCCAAAGCATCCATGGCAGAAGGGAATGTGCTCTGGCTTCCAGATTCCAGAAGTCGTGCAGGTCCAGACTGGAGAGACCTTGAGAAACACTCCAGAAACAGGCATTATAAATCCTATAGTCTGTAATCCGGTTGGACAGCCTTTACTGCCCTGGTCCTGACTGATATGTTTTAAGATGCTGATTCACTCTTAATCACTTGTTTGAATCACTTACTACAATAATTTAATTCAGTTCTCTGTTTACGACAAGAACTAAGTGTTCTCCTCATTTAAAAGGTTTAAAATCAGCATTGTGAGTCCCGGACCACAGATACCAAATATAACACATATTCAGAGAAAGAACGTAGGTCTTTTAAATGGTGTTCAGGTTTTCTTTCCTCTCAAGCCCTTAATCAGTTTTTTCCCTATTAATACATTCTATGCTAATATAGCTGCTAGCAGTTAAAGCTGAATATAGACCTTGCCCACCAGTATCTTGCTCTGATACTGTTCTCACCACAGTTCATTTGACCTAGAAGTGACCTTTGACATCCTGTATATTGTTTATGGTAGGTGGTTCTGAAGTGCTTGACGGGACACACAGGACGGGCACGATTATTATTCACTACCTTTGGACACTCTGAAGTTCCAGATGTGGTATTAAAGAGACACACCTGGAATCTGTCCTCCAAGACCACTGTGTCTCTTTTTATTTGGGGAACTTGGGGTCACATAAGACAATGCAAAGCTTCTGGCTTTGTGGTTGAGGAATGCCGGAAGGATGGCCAAAGTTTGGGGATCAAGGTAAGACGTGAAATTGGCTATGTAGCTGGGAAGCTGCCAGTATAAACCATGGTGACCTCATGCTGAGTGGTCCGTTTGACTAGAGGAGTCAGCCTGGTAAACAGCCCGCAGCATTGTAGCTGTCAAAGACTATGAGGGGCTTGTGAATGGAGGCCTGAGGCATGTGGGACACGGCAGGTGGCTGGGAAGGCATGTACTGCAATCCTGGTACTGAAATGACCAAATGTTACAATTAGCTGTAGCAAAGGTTGGTTACCTTCTTTTGCTGCCAGAGAAAAACACAGAATCATTAAAGCAAGACAAATGAAGGACATTAATTAGCGGAAGTGGAAGCTAACGTGACCTACTTCCACACCCGAGCCTCCAGGGGTGGATTAGTGGTGCACAGTGTGGCAAGAAGCACCGTCGGTGCTTTGGGATGCCAGGTACGCTGGGATTAGGCACCAGCAGCCCATTCAGGAGGAGAAATCTGGGAGGTTCTGGTCAAAGGGAGTGTCCAAAAATATGGTTTCTGACTTTCTAGTTAGAACTGTGGAAATACAAAAATCTACACTTTACTTATTAGTTAAACAACTGTTTGGATCATCTGTGGTCTATTTAACTTCATTCATTCATTTTCCATACCCCCTTGTCCTATGCAGGCTCGTGGCGATCTGGAGCCCATCGCAGGGCACACTCACACACGTACACCAATGTGCAATTAATTGAATTTGGCAACACCAATTCAACTTAGCATGTGTTTGGACTGTGGGGGGAAACCAGAGAACCTGAAGGAAACCCCTGACATGGGAAGATCATGCAAACTCCATACACATGAAGCCGGGGCAGAGACTTGAATGCTGCTCTCTGGGGGTATGAGGGGACCATGATACCCACTGTGCCACCAAAATTTACAAACATTCATCTTCTAAGAGATTCCACTTGACCTACCTGCTGCAGTCAGACATTTGAAAGATGGGACTTTATCACACATTGTGATATGAGGCAGGAGTCTCCCAGTCTGCAACCACATTTGGAGTCACAATAAGATTGTTCTAAAGTTGATTTACCCAATACTGTCCCCTGATTGGCTGTTGATGACATCAGCACTACAAAGCTCACCTCTCCATGTGGAGATTCTGTCTCCGGTTTTGTATTCAGGAAAATGATAAACTTAAAATTGTGATATACCTGAAATATGGCAACTGAAAATATAATAACATGCAATATGTAATGTGCTGACTGACAATATAATGTCATTGAAGGCTATATGTGGAAAACAAGATGAGGAGCCACTCATTAGGAATTTTTTGGTTTCCTTGGAACCAGTTCTTACTGGTCCTTGGCCGAGGTCATTGGCCCCATAGCTGGTGTCAGGATAGAGAACAGTCTGCATTTTTGGATTTGGTTATAAATTCCAGGGTTGGTCTCTTGTTGTCCCTTGTGTAAAGGAAAGTCATCATGAGTTTTGATTCTATCAGGGTTTTTTTCCCACACTGCGTTATGGGGTTACTAAAGTCAGATTAGCATCTGGCTAATACACATATGCATAGTCCAGAAAAACAAGGGCTTTGAGATGGATCAGCTGTGCTGTAGCCACTTGGTCTGACGGCAAATTGTGGACAGATTTGGCCTAATATAGAAAAACACACAGCCCAAGTGAATTGGCATCCAGCTGATATAGACCAGCACTTCTCAACCCCTGTGTCGTGACCCATATTTGGGTCGCAGCAAGTTCTGAAAGGGTTGTATGCATTTTAAAGCCAGCAAGCTCTGATGCTGATCCACAATCAGATTTCCCAGCCTCAGTCCTCAAATGAACTTATATAATTGGGTCTTGGGTCTGCAAATGCTTAGTGCAAAACTAGTGAACACACAACCAATCCAATAAGCAAAACCACAGATACATAATTTAAAATTCACTGGCACATCCAATCAGATTTGTGCGATAGGCAATGATTGGTGTAAATTGCAGAGTGTTGCTTAATCATAGCGTTAATTTGAATAGGGTCATGACTGAGCTGTCATGGTAAAAATTGGGTCGTGGTGCAAAAAAGGTTGAGAACCACTGATATAGATTAATATAGACTTTGGAGGATCCCCCCCACCCCACCACCAACATCCTGTACTGGAAATAAGCAATTTCATAAAATGGACTGATGGATGGATACATTTACTGTCTTGTTGTTAGGAAAATAAAAATGAACAAAGATAAAATGAAAGTTCCACTGTGTGAGAGTTCTTTTTTGCTGAGTGCCATGATAATTTTCCAGGATTTATATAAACTTAGTGACATTAAATGTATTTTATAATTTAAAAAATGAATGCATAAATTTCTGAATAAACCCTCGGAATTCACAGAAACTGGAATGGACCTAGCCATTGTTGATTTACTTATGCCATTTATAAAAAGGACATGAACACAAATTTTCACACTATTCTTCCACTAGAGGGAGATGCAGATTTACAAAAAAAAAAATCACAGTAGCTGGACTGGTATGAATCAGCAGTGGGGATTTGCTGTGCAGCTTCCTGCGTTCTTTATTTTCTTCATGTTTTCTGCTCTCGGCAGTCATGCATTCTGGGACTGAGACTGTACTCTGTTAACTACATCAGGTAGACTGACCTGTCTTCACGTAAAGGAAGTGTCTCAGCACATTTTTAAACTATACAGGCACTATGATCAAATTAATCTTAACAAAAATAACAGCAATGACAATCATAAAAATACTGAAAGTCCTTATACAAATATTTTTGAATGGTATTAATAATATACCTTACAGATGCAGACCTAAGAATGTTCTTTAATTGACTCCACTACTAAACTGAACAGGTTAAAATCTTTGTACTCTTCCCAAGGGCCAGAATGTGCCATTCATTCCCATTCAGATGTAGAACTCCTGGTCTTCCTCTGCATGTGGGGTGCCAGTCTGTGATTTGCTGAGTGGGGGACAGGTGCGGCCGGGCACTGGGTCTGTGGCTGGGGGCGTGGTGGAGGCAGGCCTGGAGGCGGAGATGCTGCCCGGTGGGTGAGAGGGTATGAGACTCAATGAAGCATGGGTGCCATAACACTGACCCAAAAGGGATGACTCAGGGTCAAGAGGAGGCGCAGAGACAGGCCGGGGGCGGGGCCGGGGCCGGGAGTAGCCCGACACCACAGACAGGTCCAGCGTGCCCCACCTGTCCAGTGTCTGCCCTGTGTCCACATCTGTCTCAACGGCACCAAGAAGCATGTCCACATTAAGACGGAAGGGAGGGGCCACAAACGAGCAGCGAGTGGGAGCTGGGAAGTGGGGGGTGGACGAGGGAGGCAAGGACACATCTGTGAAGGACAAGGAGAAGAGCGACGGGGCACGCTGACCCGTCCACCGCATCCTGGAAGCCCCTGGGTCTCGGTGCCGCCTGGATTCCTCCTCCCAATAAGCTGGCAGCAGGTCCTGCAGAGAAGCCTGCGATTGGGCCTGGTTCCTGAGGCGGGGGGTGTGCGGGTGGCTGTGGCGGCTCCACTGGGATGGGGGACCGTAAGTGTCCTGGGGCAAGGGCAGAGGCTCAGGATCGGAGGGGGGGGGATTCAGTGCGGAGCAGGAGTCATCCAGCAGGCTGTGCAGCTGCACCAATGTGTGTCTCCTCCGGTGTCTGGCAGAGCCTGGAACCTGCAGCCAAAAAGATGTTAGCTGCCATAGCAGGATCGGGGGGGAGGGGGGGGGGGCTGTGTTCATATTCTTTAAAGGGGGCTATATAAAATTATTGAATTCAATTAAATTATATTTGTGTGTTTTTATTTGTTTAACATATGCTTTTGTTCTTGGATGTGCTAATAATTGTGTTTCTGTTTATATGTACATGTGTTTATTTGTGCTACATAAGAATATTTTTGTATGTGCCTGTTATTTTCTGTGCTTTATGCATGCGAGTGTGTTTATGCCTGTAGAAGCACTTCAGATCAGATGGACAGCACTGCCAGCGGTGACGTCAGCTGCCTCTCTTTTAAAACTTTCAGGTATCTCAGCTTCAAATGTTGAAAAACCATTTAGTGGCTGGATTGGGGTTGTGGTGGAAGTAGAGTGATGGGGCGGGTTTAATGTCGGGGAGTTCCATTTGGGTGCGTGCCTGGGAGCGCAAGGTAGGCCCAGGA